AACTTCACTGAGGCCAGAGAATGTGTGGACTGTGTGGTGCTGACTCTTTGTAATCTGCTGAGACCTGCTGTATGGATTAGTTCACTGTCAATTTTTGAAAGTACTCCATGTGTGCCTAAAATAACAGGCATTTTTAAATTTTTTGGTGCAATATTCAATTTCTGAGCATTAGCTCAAGGTAATTGTGTTTTTCAATTTATAATTTTTTTAATTTATAATTTTTTAATTTATAAGTTTTTAATTTATAATTGTGTTGCTAAAATCTATATCCTTATTAATTTTTTTGTCTACTGAATCTATTAATTATTGAGGGAGATATGTTAAATTTCCCATTATGATTGTGGATTTGTTAATTTCTCCTTAAATTCTTTTAGTATTAATTTTCACTATATATTTAAGCCTGTGTTGTAAGTTGCACACAAGTACAGAATTTTTAAATCTTCCCAATAAATTATTGATTTGTTCATTTTGTGGTGATATTCTTTGTCCTTAAATTTACTTAATATTGCTTTTTGCCAGCTTTCCTTTGCCTGCAGTATCTTTTTTATCCTCTTACTTTCAAATCTTTCTCTGTCCTTATGTTTTAAGTGTGTTCTTTATAACAAGTTTTTTTAAAGATAGTTAAGGGCCGGCTCAGTGGCGCAGCGGTTAAGTGTGCACATTCCACTTCGGCAGCCCGGGGTTCACCGGTTCGGATCCCAGGTGCGGACATGGCACTGCTTGGCAAGCCATGCTGTGGCAGGCATCCCACGTATAAAGTAGAGGAAGATGGGCATGGATGTTAGCTCAGGGCCAGTCTTCCTCAGCAAAAAGAGGAGGATTGGCAGCAGTTAGCTCAGGGCTAATCTTCCTCAAAAAAAAAAAAAAAAAGTTAACTGATGATTTTAGTCTGTCATGATTAACAATATATGGAATGTATTTCTATCATTTTATTTTGTTACACTTGTTTTTCTCCTTTCCCTGACTTCTTTGGATTGGTCAGGTTTTTGTTATTCCCTTTCTTTTCTACTTAGTTTAACAGTTATGCATTTTGTTCCTATTGTTTTAGTGTTTACCCTTCAATTATTAAATGCATACTTGAATAAATGAAGTTTGAAGTTAATGTATGTATGCTTTTCTTAAACATTATAAAGATTTTAACTCCAATTACTTTCCTCCTTCCTTTTATATTATTGTTATTCAGGATTTCGGTTCTATTTTCTCTGAATACAATTTAGCAATTAACGTTACCGTTATAATTGGTCTTAAACTGACCCTTGCTTAGATTTGCTTAGATTTATCAATCTCTTGGTTCACCACTCCTTTTTGTGTCCCAGGCCTTCCTTCTGTGGCATTTTCATTTTCCCAGAAATAAATCTTTAAGTTATGTGAATGGTAAACACTATCAAGTTTTTGGTTGGTTTGCTTGAAAACATCTTCAGTTTTTACTTGTTCTTTTATAATAATTTGGCTATTATTTTATAAAATATTTAGCTAATATATTACATATTAGTTATTAGGCATAAAATTCCAGGTTGACAGATATTCTAACACTTTGAAAATATTATCCCTCTGTCTTCTGGATTCTGTCGCTGATGTTGAGAAGTCACTTTCCATTTAATTGTCTGTTAAGATAATCTCTTTTCTTTTACCTAGTTCTCAATCTCCTCTCTTTATCATCGGTGTTCTCCAGTATTAGAGAGTTTCATTTAGTTGTAGATATCTTTCTTCCTTTTCTTTTTCTTCTGCTGGAGATTTGTTTTGCTTTTGATCTTGTGAATTCATGTCTTTCTAAATTCTGAAAATTCCCTTCTCCCATTATCTCTTTGGATTTTGTCTCTTCTCTCTTCTCTTCTCTTCTTTCAGAGTGTCTATTAGATGTATGTTGGACTTTCACATTCTAGTCTCCATTTCTATGAATTCCTTCTAGGGATCAATTTACACATATGTTAGAACTTTTTAAAACCATATTTAAAATGTCTCTTATACTCTTGTCTATGTTTTTGACCGCTTTTTGTGTGTGTGCTTCAGTCTGAATATTTTTCACTAACCATTATTCCAGTTTCTAAATCCTCTCTTCTGCTGTGTGTCATCTGCTTTCAAACATATCTACTGAACTCTTAATTTTAGTAATTATATTTGTTTCAACTCAATAATTTCTGTTGAATTCTTTTTAAAATTGTATATAGCATCTAGTCCTCTGATGAAGTTCACCATTGTGTCATTCATTTTCATGAACATAATTGTCATAGTTACTTTTAAGTCCTTGTCCAATAATTCCAATAGGTGGATCACCTATTGATTTGTGTCTGTGTTTTTTTTTGTTTTGGTTTTTGGTCATTGGTCTTATCTCTTGGCATGCCTGGTAGTTTCTGAGTGAATGCCAGACTATATGTCTAAAACAGTATAGAGACGTTGAATGATATTATCTTCCTCTGGAGAGGATTTAATATTTTTTCTGGCTGTTAGTTACAGTAGGGGCAGATCACCTTGATCCAATTAGGGACTGAGATAGTTTAAGGCTAGGTTTCAGACTTTGTGGGGGCTGATCTATTTCCAGTTTGCCTTTATTTCTAAGTAGTCCCTCAGGGTTTCTAGCTGAAGGCTTTAGATATCTACCAGGACCCCTCCTCAGCGTTGCAAATCTACTGAAAGCTCTGCTTGGCTTTTTAGCCTCTTAGCAGCTGCTTTCTCCTTAATGTCTTGTCGCTGAACTGCTTAGGAGTCAGCAAGTACTTCAAGGGTAGAATCTACGCAGGGTGAGACTCACTTTTCTTTGGTCCCTTTTTCTCTGGAAATTTTGCCCCTCAAGTCCTGGCTGCCTTTGTAGCCCTGAACTACAATGTTTGTCTTCCTAGAGGAATGAAACTGCTGCAAACTCTTGGCCACGGCATTCTGCTTATGCCGAATTCTCTGAGAGGAAAACGCAAGGGAAAATGTTTGCCTTTGTTTTCTTTTGTTTCCTTTTCCTCATTTCCTTTCTTTGTTTTCCTTCTCTCCAGGGTCTGGCCCTTCAAGTGCCTTCATTTGCCTTAACTTATCTCTGATATCTTCAAAGAGCTGTTTTTTTTAAAAAAAGAATTTTATCCAGATTTCACACTGTTTAAATTTTACAGTATTCTCTATACAACTGTGGGAAGTGGGAGATTTAGTGTGATATAAGCTTACTCCATCATAGTTGGGAGCTGAGCTCTTAATCTTGAGTTTCTTATTTTAATAATCACATTCTTCCCCTAGAACCTCTATTTGATTGTTTCTCAAATCGGCATCGTCTGTTTTTGGATATGATTGTGTTTCTATCTTGTGTTTTATATTCCTTTTTAAAATGGTTTTAATAATTTAAAATATACTTATAGTTTGTATCCTATTAAATTACCTGAAATTCTCAGGGGTTTAATTTTATTATATATTTTCTGCTGACTCTTAGTTTGCCCTTGCTTCTGCCAGATGCCCCAAGAGGGTAGTAGCAGCTGAGAACCAATTTTTATGTTAATTTCTTGGTTTGGGATTTCTGGAGCTGTACCACTACCACGTATTTGAATTCCAACTGTGAGTGAGCAGAAAGCTATGGTTATAAAATACCTAAGGAGATGGTTGTTTGTCCACTCAGAGTTCAGACCTATACATATAAGCTTTCTTATCATTTTGTTTACTCATGAGTGGATGTTTCTGAAGTCATACTTTCACTTAAGGTATGGATCACATGTAGGATTCAGACTACATATAGTCCCAGCTTTCCATATTACATGGGCTTAAGGTCTTGGCTCTTGTTCTCTGAGGCTGTTAAAGCCAGCTCATGAGTTACTGAGACCAGCACAACCCTCTAGGGCAGCTGAGAAATCAGCACCTACTGCCCATTCTGATTTCCAGGGTTTTTTTGGATAATTCCCTGGGATTTGTCTCATTTTCCTGAGGACTCAGCTGTGCATATATGAAGGTATTTGTATACTTGATTCAAGATTTTTTGGTGTGTTTTTTTGGAAGAAGTTTTCAAGCTGTCTAGTTCTCCATAATTCTAGAAATAAAAGTCTTAACTGACATAATTTACACTGCTGGTTTATAGTAAAACTTAATAAATGTGATCTATTACTAAATATCATTGTCAACATTATTATTTCCACAAATACATAAAACCTGAGCATTTGGGTTACAATAGATATGAGATTATATATATGCATTTGGATTATAATATATATGAGACTATATGTATTATATATAAGATATCATATATAACATATATATAATATGTAGTAGATTATATATAATATATTATAAATATAATATATTATATTATATTAATTATATATTATATATAATTATATAAATTAATTATATTAATTATATTATAAAATATAATTATAAATATAATATATTATAAAACTTTATGATGACCCAGTCTGTGAACTGGGTATATGGTTACTGGATATAGTACTATGTAGATCATGCTACAAAAACACAGTAAAATCTGGCCTATTGAAATAGTTGAGGGACCGGCCCCGTGGCATAGTGGTTAAGTTCACGTGCTCTGCTTTGGTGGCCCAGAGGTTCACCGGTTCGGATCCTGGGTGCAGACATGGCACCGCTCATCAGGCCACGCTGAGGCGGCATCCCACATGCCACAGCTAGAAGGACCCACAACTTAAATATACAACTATGTACTGGGAGGATTTGGGGAGAAAAAACAGAAAAAAAAGAAAGAAGATTGGCATTGATTGTTAGCTCAGGTGCCAATCTTTAAAAAAAAGAAAAGAAAATTAAAAAAAAAAAATAATTGAAAGCACATCAATCACCCTTCTCCCAACTCTGTGCTCCCCTGCCTTTAAAACTTTGTTTCATAACTCTTATTTCCTCAGGAAAACTAGGAAATGTTGTGGCTTTGTAGCTTTTAAACATTGAAAGATGTATCCATGGGAGTGTATATTTGTGTGAATCAGTTCCCATACACCCATATATATTATTTCTCTTTGGATTTAAAATTTTTTAACTTGCGTGCAATTGTGTATCCTTTTTTCCCTTTGTAGGAGGATACTTCATCGAGACTTGAAATCAAAGAATATATTTCTGAAAAATAATCTACTTAAAATTGGTAAGATTTTTAAAAGTATGTATTTTAAAAACATAGGAGCATATATTCTACATGTTATTGATGTATTAAATTGCAGGATATAGTACCTAAAAGTGTTAGAGTAATCATTGGTTTATTAAAGTTCTCAAATTTTTGTTCCTACTTGGTTGGACCCAACAAAACTCAATTATTTTGTTTCTGACTATCTGATATAAATGGAGATATAAATTTGCTATGTACTCGATAGGTTTAACAAATATTTTTTGAGTTCCTATTCCATGCCAGGCAGTTTGCAAGCAGTTAGATTTGTTCTACTGTTTTCATTGCTACAGGTTTCCCCACTTATTTTTCCACAAGCAGTTAGCAGTTATCACAGATAATTAAAACGTTGGTGTAATGGCTTTGTTAACCTTTAGTTCTCCTTCAGAACTGTACCTCCACTTGTAACAGTTACTGGATTGTTTAATCTTCATGTAAGATGTTCTGAGAGCGGAAGGCATAAAAGCAAACAACTAATTAGGCAAGGATAGAGAAGCTGGTGGAGGCAGATTTTTATAGTCATGTTCTTGAAAAGTCTCAGGTCTTCTGTTTAAAACGTTTTCTTTATTGTAAATGAAGAGCAAACTGCCCCCTCAGATGAAACTGCAAATGATTATATTCAGCCCTTCCCGAATCATTCTGTCTGTTGTTGTTCAGACTTGAAATAGCTTTTTGTTTCAAGTTGCTGGTTCTCCACAATTCCAGAAATAAAAAGTTTTAGCTTACATAATTCACTTTCCTGGCTCAAAGTCTTCTTTCTCCTATAAGGCTTTGGTTTTTAAAGCTACTCACCAGCATTGTATAATTTAAAATATATAACTTTCCTCTCTGTTTAAGATGTTATAAATCATTGCATATTAAAATTGTCAAATTAGACACAGTTGTTAATTTCCAGTGCTGATTTTTGTTGTTATAAAATTCATAAAATTAATTATTATTTCAAGGGGATTTTGGAGTTTCTCGACTCCTAATGGGATCCTGCGATCTAGCCACCACTTTAACTGGAACTCCCCATTATATGAGTCCAGAGGCTCTGAAACACCAAGGCTACAACACAAAGTCGGACATCTGGTGAGTGGGCGGTGGGCTAGTCTGGGTGACTCATTTGTCTGCTGCCCTGAGAGAACACTACATTTTGGTTCTAGGCTCATTTACTTACTACATCCATTCACTCTATATCTTTGAAATATGAGTCATTCTGTGACCAGAGTAAAAGAAGGTCTTCCGGATTTGGAACCTGATGTATTCCATTAAATTGATTTCAGAAACTCTCTTTATTCATAGATTAATTGGTTGGTTTGCATTTTTTCTTCTTGAACCAGAAAGTAAGGTTCTTAATGTATCATAAAAATCAAATCCTGATACATTTCTGCTAGCCTGTTACATAAAGCATTGGGATTCTAAACACTGTGCTTTCTTTTTTTTAAGATTAACTTACACCTCTGTAGGGAACGTACAGCTTTTTAAAAAATTTCTTGTCTTGTTGCTTTTAAGAACTTTTACTAAAGATATGAACTTTAGGGATAAATTTAAATTAAAAAAACTCTGGTTTTCAATAATAGATGCAGCTGAGATTTCTCAGTTTCTCTGAGCTCTTATACCAAAAGAATTTCTCCTGCCTGTCACAGAACCACTTTAAATCTTAGTGCAGAAGCCATGTGGAAAATTGCATTCTGTTGTTAGCAATAGATCCTATTTGGGGAAAATTTCTTTTCCTTTGAAGAGGAATCTTACATAATTTTTGGCTTGTTAAGGGTCGAAAGGACAATCTAGCTGAGAGCTTGTTAAAAATTAAGTAAATAATTATTGTATGCAAATCAACTTGAGTAGTTCTGAGCTTTCAGAGATGAGCACTGTGAAAGATTGTGCCAACTTCGTTCGTTCTTCTAAAGAGGATAAAGTAGAAAGTTAGCTTTTCTCTGGTTAGGGAGAAGTAAGCACCACAGGCAATATGCCTTGGAATTTTCATGAGGGTCATTGCTCCTCTTCTCGTTCTGGTGCCTCCCCGGTGGGAGAGAACCCTGTCAAGGTTAGGTCTGGCTATGGCAGATCCCCATGCATTCTGTCCCTTCAGTTTGCTCTTGTGATTATTCATTTCTAGGTTCTTCAATGGGTTTTTTCATTGTTAGCTTGTTTCTGTGCCAGTGGTCTTCTCCGATTCACCTACCGTTTTTCCTCTATCACAACCTTCCCTAACCTCCTCCAAAAAAACAAACACAAAAAAATAGGTGAAAAATACAAAGGTATGGTCAGCGGAATGAGTTTCTTTACATTTTGTTTATTGAGCATCCACTATTTGCCAATAACTGCGTAATAATAGCCTTTAGGGTATAAAATCAAAAGTAATAGGATTCCTGCCCCTCAGGAGAAGTTTTCTTGCTCTTTTTAGAGTAATTTTCTCCAGTTTGAGAAAATCAATCTTGGGCTTTGGATTGAAGTTGAGTTTCATACCTACATCTCTCTTCACTCTTAATTTTTTAAAATTATTATGGACATTTTAAAATAGATTCAAATATATAATTGCTTCATGGTTTAAGATTACATGGTATCTCAGGAAGATGTTCCATCATGTTATTTGAATTAAGAGTAAATTAATTTATGAAGTCCGTCATTTAAGCCTTTGGAATGACATGCAGCAGGAACACTGGCTCTTGTTGACACGTCTCCGCCTCTGCTCGCCAAATCAGATGGGTGTCTCCTAAGAAACTGAGGCACCAGAACTCGCAGAGAGAAGAGCAAAGCATGGAGTCTTTTTGTCTAGTTGTGTCTGTCTTCTTTGTTAAAAAACTGTTTATAGTATTGCATAAAGAATTACAGGGGCTGGCCCCATGGTTGAGTGGTTAAGTTCGTGTGCTCTACTTTGGCAGCCCAGGGTTCGGATCCTGGCTGTGGACGTAGCACTGCTCATCAAGCCAGGCTGAGGTGGCATCCCACATGCCACAACTAGAAGGACTCACAACTAAAAATACACAACTATGTACTGGGGGGCTTTGGGGAGAAAAGGAAATCATAAAATCTTTAAAAAAAAAAGAATCATAGAAATATCAGACATTATTGCTATAATGTTTTAAGCTTACAAAAATATCTGGCTCAGGTAAATCTTAAGAAAGCCAGAACTCCCCAAATATAAAACTGCAGGAGAGGGCTGGCCCAGTGGCCATGTGGTTAAGTTCTCACACTCCACTTCGGTGGCCCAGGGTTCTGCCAGTTCATATCCTGGATGTGGACATGGCACCGCTCATCAAGCCATGCTGAGGTGACATCCCACATGCCACAACTAGAAGGACTCACAACTAATATACAACTATGTATTGGGGGGCTTTGGGAGAAAAAGGAAAAATAAAAAAAATCTTTCAAAGAAAAAACTGCGGGAGAATTTTAATATACTTTTGTAAGCATGAGGTCAGCTCTCCTTGCAGAGATTATTAACTATTTACCAAGTACAAGCTAAGGATCTAGCATCATCGTGACCCCAAATGACCAGTTTATTATGAATTTAGTAATTACCTTAGTTGTATCTGAATCAAATAAGCTTATCTGGTAATGAAATTTCTGTTGCTGACCCTGAAGTGTAAAGAATAACAGAAAACCATTAATTATAGTGGCAGATACATAAGTGTGATGAATAATCTTTGGGAGACACTCTTAGCAAAATTAGATTGAATGGGGTTGAGAATTTCTCTCTGAATCTCAGTGTGTAGCATCTGTTTACTGGGGAATATTTTCCTAGGATTGGAAATATTTGTGAATAACTGACAGGTGTTTGCTTTAGCACTAATAGCTTTGCATATTATATTTATAATGCTTAAAGAAAAATTGGTATAATACTAATTATATTTTCATCTGTTGTTTGCCCATATGTAACCTAATCCTCCTCTGCAATCTGTTAAACCTTTCGGGATTCACTTATTTGTAGTAATCAAGTACAGGAAGTCCCTCTCTGAAAAGTGGGTTAGGTCCAAAAGTTTATAAACAGTTATTTGGAAAGTTAGGATAATTAGGTTCACTGAGGACAATACTTTGAACACAGCTGATTGTTGTAACCAATTGCTGAACACGTTTTTCCCCCACAGGAAAAATGTATGAGTCGAGTTCCTAGGCCAGCTCTTTAAATTGATTTAAACTATGAATAGTTAGAATTTATTATTTTGGTAGGAGAAACAAATAAAGCACAATTCTATTGGAATAATAGTACTGTGGTTAAACAGCAAGGATACAGAATATTTTATTGTTGGTCTTTTTATCTTGTTGTGAGAGGTCAACCAAATGGCTCTTCGATCTTGCAGCCCTGTATTCTTTGGGTGATTTAGGTGGAGGGAATGGCAGTAGGAATAGTAGGGGTGTCAGATTGTACTGTGAAGCCTTCAAGGTCTTGCTTGGCGATCTGGCATGGGGGTTGGCTGGATAGGGGACACTGGAGGAGTCTAGTTCATGCCCAACATTGGAATCAGGCTTTAGTGATCTTGGGCAGAAGTGTCAGAGAAGGCTTAGCTACAGGCAGAAGGAAACAGAGAGGACCCAGCACCTGCCTAGCCTACCAGGACTAAGAAATATCCTCCCAGGACAGCATTCCCAGGGTGCACAGGGAAAGTGGGTAGGGAGGAGAACAAGCCTATTTTGTGGTGAGGATTTAGGAAAGGGAGAAATATAGGCCAACCTGGCAGCAGTTCCTGTAGTAATGTGGTGCCTGCAAGTAGCTGGCAGCCAACATCCGCATCAGCTGCCTCTTGGGGAAGTAAGCTCTAGAGCAAGAGAGCCCATTTCTCTCACCTGCCCATGGTCTGGGCGGTTCTTGTGTGAGCTCAGAAGCAAGCTGCTGCACAAGGAGTGCCTTAGTGGGGAATGAGCACTGGTGTCATTACTTTCATTCAATAGAAGCTGAGGTGGAAAACATTTCAGTCAGGTGCAGTAGATTTGGATATTAATATATTTTTTCAATAACTATCGTGAAATGATTGATACAAACTCTGCAGATAATATCAGCCTGGCCTGGTCAATTTTAAAAAGGCCACACTACAACCACAGCAACAGAACTAGGAATAGCTACCTTCTATGGAGTGCTTGCTCTGTGATTGACAATTAATGTGTGAGGTGCTTTGTATACCTATCCAAGTGTATTTGTTACTACAAAAAATGATCATACTGTATACAACTTGATAACTTGCTTTTTTTCACTTAGCAAAATGCAGCATTGCTCTGCATCAACAAAATATATCTAAATATTATTTAAATGTTTGCATAGTATTATATACCTGGATACATAATTTATTCAATCAAGACTTTAATGTTTTTTTGGAAGATTTTCTCTCTGTATTTGTCCTTTGGTATTTTTACCATGATGTATGTGGGTGTGGATTTGCATTTATCCTGTATGAAGTTAGTTGAGCTTCTTGGACATGTAGATTGATGTATTTCATCAAATTTGGGAAGTTTTCAGCCATTATTTCTCTGGGTATTTTTTCTCCTCCTTTCTCTCTCTCCTCTTTCTGGTACTCCATTATGTCTATTATGCCTATGTTGGTGTGCTTCATGGTCTCCTACATTTCTCTGAGGCTGTGTTCATTTTTCTTCATTCATTTTCTCTCTATTCTTCAGATTGCATAATATCTATCAATCTATCTTTAAGTTCACTGATTCTTTATTCTCCTAGTTAAAATTTACTATTGAGCCCCTCCAGCAAATTTTTTGTTTCAGTTATACTTTTCAGTTCCTGAATTTCTATTTAATGATATTTTACAATTTCTCTCTCTTTATTGATATTCTCCATTTGATGTGACATTTTTATCATACTTTCTTTTACTTCTTTAAACATGGTTTCCTTCAGTTCTTTGAAATATTTATTATAATGGCTGTGTGGAAGTCCTTGTGTGTTAAATCTGACATCAGGGTCCTCTCAGGTAGTTTTTGTTGCCTGCTTTTTTTCCCTGTGGATGGATCATACTTTCCTATTTCTTTGCATGTCTCAAAATTGGTGAAAACTGTTCATTTTAGGTAATATATTATAGCAACTCTGGACCCTTATTCTCCCTACTCCCCCGCCTCTCTAGGGCTTGTTATTGTTTGCTTGTTTA